AATATTAATCTGATGCTCTTTAGCCAGTTGTTTCAGTAGCTCAATCTGTTCTGATTTTGGTAATCGCTTTGCCATATGTTTGTGTAGTGGTACATCCCTTCCCAACAGCACATCTTCTGCTAGTCCTTGTACTACTGCTGCTTTCACCTGGTAATCCTCTCCATCAAATGTTATCCGAACTGATGCTAGTGGATACTCCCCATAAGTTCCATTCCCAAAAGTAACTCCAATCGTCTCCTTCTCTATGTCTTTCAATGCTACAAACTTCCTATCAACCATAGTCCTTGATGCTCCGCTGTCTATCTGAATTCGCTTCACATTGTGTCCATTGATCTTTCCTTCTCCATGCCAAATGACTTCCTCTGCATTCTCTTTGGCTCGTAGAGTTTTCTCCGTACAATTTCTTGCTATATGCCCCTTGCGATTACACTTTTAACAGGTAATCTCTGAAGGTGACTTTCTCTCCTTCTTGTTTCCAGTAGATCCTTCAGTCTTCCTTGGGAACTCCTTTGACCGACCATGATCCTGCTTTGGTCTATTCCTCTGTGGTAAACAACTATGAGCTGTATCATAAGATTCAATAAGCTCTCCAACTTTCTCTGGTGTCTCTGGGTTCTGAGAAGTTACCCAGATTCTCATCTCTTGTGGTAACCCATTTAAAAGCTGCTCTACTGCAATCTTGTTAACTACCTGTTCCATTCCATTCTCTGGTACTAACCATCTCTTCACCAGTTTGACTCCTCTAGCTATCCAATCAGTTGGGTCTTGATCTCTTGTCCAAACATGCCGACTCCTGAACTTTCTTCTACATCTCTCTGTGTTGATGTTATAATGCTCCAAAATAGCTTTCTTGACTCCATCATAATCAGTAGTAGTTAATTCCCAGATCAGTACAAACAGTTCTAGCCTTGCCACTTAGTAACGGTGTCAGACGTAGAATCCAATTTGTCCGATTCACCCCTTGTATCTTCATAATACCTTCGAATGCTTCAATGAAGTCTTGGATATCCTCTGTTTCTTGATATGGTGATATTTTTAAATGAGGACTATTCCCTTCTCTTTCTGCTAGAACTCCTTTCATAATCTCTATCTGCTGCATATGCTGCTCCTGCATGGCCTGTATCTCTTCATAATGTCTCTCTCTTTGTCGCTCCTCTTCTCGACGACGTTCTTCAGCTTGTCTCTGGGCCTCCTCTCTTCGTCGCTCCTCTTCTCGACGACGTTCTTCAGCTTGTCTCTGGGCCTCCTCTCTTCGTCGCTCCTCTTCTCGACGACGTTCTTCAGCTTGTCTCTGGGCCTCCTCTCTTCGTCGCTCCTCTTCCTGACGACGTTCTTCAGCTTGTCTCTGGGCCTCCTCCCAACGACGTTGCTGCTCCTCCTGAAGCTTTGCTAAACTTGCCAAAGCTGCCGCTAATTGCTCCATCGGATCACTAACTCCTGTAATAAGACTTTCTTCCACTTCAGTACAGTCTTCCGTATCAACTGAAGTATAACTCTCTCTGAAAATATGTAATCCTCGCAACTGTCCTCTGTAGTCGTGTCTTGGTAAGTCCCGTAGAGAATACCGCCCTTGATTCTCTCGACTGTTATCTGACATAAACAGTCACACCAGACACTATAAACTTTAGTATCTCTCTCTTGCAGAGATACAATAGTGGGTCTTTCCTCTACAACCGTTTGAGAACTATCCCACCGCTGCCACCAAAAAATGTAACAGACGCTCCTAACTATCTGTTCACCAAACTTATTTCTTAATCAACACGAAACTCAACTGAGCTCAAAAACTAACAAAACTAACTCACAACTAACACACAACTAACTAAAACTCACAAACAACACACTTATATAGATCTTATAAATGTCCAGAAGGTTCTATAACATACAAGAATACTTTACATGATTGTTCTAGAATATACTTGAATAAACACATAATATATAATTACAATTGTACACAGAGAGTTCCGGATCCATTTAGAAACAACTTCTA